TTCCTCATCGAGAAAGGTGTTGTGAATGGCAGTGTGGTACAAAGCTGGGCAGTACCACATCATTCTGATCGGAAAATGGTCTTCGCAGTGAATGATTCCGGTTGGAAGTTGTTGCTGTATCTGCTTGACTGATTTGATGTGCAAAGTGTTAGTGTGGGAACAATGTTCCTTGTGTTGTGACATTTGTTCGACCACAAATTGTTTTGTGGCATCAACGTTGAATGGAAAGCCATAGTGCTTGTGCCAAGATCTAATGGATCGTGTAAGTTGAGCTGCAAGTTGTGATGGCTTTGGTAGGCAGTTGCTCTTGCCTGAATAAGCCAAAAATTCATGTTGTGGCTGCAGTTCTGCCATTTGAATGGCAATGTGTTTGTTGTAGATATGGTCTGGTGAAACTTGCGCTTGCAACGACGCGCACGTGCATGCCGGCTTGTGGTGCGGCTGCCAGGTGGTGTGAGCCGCCCTCCAGTTGTGTAAAATTTGCTGAATCGGTAGGTGTTTCTTGTAAACCAATTCTGCGCTAGGTAGATTCGGTAGATGTAATGGTGGAATGCGTTGTTTTTGCTCGGTGAGACGGGAGCGTAGAAACTGACGCATGTTGTCAGTGAATTGCGGATGCAACAGTGTGTGTAGGTAGATTGGTTTTGTCGCTGGTGGAGTTGTAAGTCGTCGCTTCTTGAAGACTGTGTGAAGGGCTTTTTGCGCATGTCTGCGGTCTCTGCGTGGTAGATTGTTGGTAAGTTTGTACAGTGCATAAACTGTGGAAGTCGGCGTGTCGGAGCGCAAAAGCTGACGCACCGTGTCGAATCTGGTGCGTGTGTTGGAACTGAGATGTGAAACTGTAAGCCATGCTTGCTTTCGTGTCTCCAAGAGCGGGGAACTGGTGAAATTCCGCATGGAATGGTGTAGTTTTCCTCTGCGAAGCTTGGCCCACAAGGTGGCTGCGCCGTTGTGTTTGTTGTTGGCTGTTTTTGTGAACCCTGAAAAGGCTCCTTTCATGTGAGATGCGATGTAAGGAAAATTGAGCTTTGCCTGATGGTGCTGTATGAGTGTGTTCTCTGTAGCTTCCAACTCTGCAGGTGAAATGTTGGCCTGCAGCACAATTGGGGTGTATTGGTGATAGCACTTGTGTTTATGCCACCATCTGAGTGAAAGTTCAGCTTGCACAATTTTGTGTTGCTTGAGTTGTTTGAACTTGCGGTTGCGCGTGCTCTCCCGCTGTGTCATGGTTTGACTGGCACTCCCAATGTAGACAAATCGCTGGAGATGCTGTCGTGTGGATATACGGCAGTAGACAACCTGCTGTTGCCTGAAAAAGGAAAGTGTGTAGGTCTGATGTGAAACACATGAATGTAGAAAGAGTCGTTGCAAGTTGGCGAAACAGCCCTCATGTTTGAAGTGAAAATGCTGAACCCGTAATGACAAAGATAAACCTTGTAACCATAAAATGATCTGGTGCATCTGTCCTGATGTTTGTTCAGCTTGTGGCGACAACATTTGCAGAATAATTCTGCCTTTGTCCAAAATTTGGATGACCTTCTTAAATTGTTTTGCAGTGAAGTTGGATTTGCGGGGACGAGATTGGCTCCTGGCTGGAGCGTGGTGAGATTGCAAGTGCTGTCGTAGTCACTCGGTCACTTGGCTGATGATAGCCACGAGTTTGATCAAAGCTGGCGGCACTCCCCATGCCACTGCAGCGGTTTGCAGTGTTTGTTGTTGTGACTCACTCAGAGTTGGAAACTCTGATGCAACCAGATCCAAGTACTGGTTTACTTGGCTTCGCTGCTTCTCCGTGATTCCCTTGATAGCTCCGAACCACCGACTGATTCCTGACTCGGAATGTACTCCTGCGAAATGGTCCTGGAACCATATGCTAGGTTGTGTGGGTTGCTGGAAAATGCGCTGTGGGTCCATCTTGGACTCCTTGTGGGATCCAGATTTTGCAGGCGCCAAGGTGGATTAGTGTTGTCTTTTGATTCCGGTCAGAGACCTGCCCGGGAAATGGGTTCCCGTCATCGAAGCGGGTGGTGATGCTGTGGTGGATGGTGTCGTGTTTGTTGCTGGAGCTTGTGGCTCACCGGAGGAGGTAGAAGCGGTGTGTGGATGCATGCTGTCCGTGTTGCTGTCCAAAGTGAGAGCACGTTTTTGCCCTCGATTTTCGTTCGTTGGAGAAACCTCGATGACAGAGTGTTTTCCAGTTGGGTTGTGTGTTGTGGCGGCTGGGGCGCGGGGCTTTGCGGATTGATGTACTTTTGGCTTCTTGGGCGTGCTGGGGTGACCGCTGGTTGACCCCGATGCTTTCATTGCTTCGACTGCTTCCAAGGCTGAAGCCAGTTGCGCTTCTAAGTCACTGATCCGGTGAGCTGAATGAGGGTCATGCGGATCCTTCTGTGACTCCTGAACCGGGAGTTGAGGGCCCGGTTTTTCAGATTGCTGCTCCTGCTGGGAATCTTGTGTTGTTGTTTCTTTCTGCTCGGGTGGATGGGAAGCAGTCTATTTTGATGCCTTGTTGGCATCGTTGTACTGGTCTTGCAACTCTTGCACATAAAGGACCAATAGCTGGGACATGGCCGGACGTTTTGCAAGATTTAGCTTCTCCTGCCAACAGAACGCGGTGGCTGCTTGATCCAAATCTATTCTGCGTGCGCGAAGCATCCCTAGAAGCTCTGTAGTAAATACTGCCTCGCTGATATGCTTGTTGCATGTGAGATGCAAATCATCGCCGTCAGCCGCGTACCTTCACCAGTACGACGACCAATTGTGGCGGAGAAAAGCCACCAAGGGTATGGTAGCGATCGGTCATCCTGCTGTTTTGTTTTGAACCGAATGTGGTGTGAATGTGGTGTAGCTTGAATGTGTCGGGGAAGATTAAGGCCAAATAGTTGCCTGTTGTCCCAATGCTCCGATGTTTGCACAAAGTCGTGTGGTATCTGAGCGGGAAATGGTGTTGCCGTGGTGGTGTTGTTGCCGGTGTGGGATGTTGTCGGTGTCTGTGTAGTTGATGTGGTTGTGACAGTGGGTGAGAAAGCTGGTGAAAAAGCTGTTGGTGATGGTGAGTAATGCGAAGGTGGAGGGGAAGTTGGTCGGGAAGGTGTGTACAGCTGTGAATGTAGTGCGTGTGGGGGTGGGGGTGGCGGTGGGAAGGTCGGCTGGTAGCAAGGGATGTTGGTTGCCGGTATGTGGTTCCATGTTGAGGGAGTGTGAAGGATGTGTGCTGGGTGGCTCGTAGTTGCCTGATTGTTAGTTAAACTGTAAAACCCTGAGCGGTCACGCTTTTACTCTTGAACCAAAGGCGCTGCGTCGGTCACATAGTATGCAGCTATACAATACTATACCGTAGCCTGGGCTCACCAAAGGTGTGGGGCGTTCCTATGTACAGAATTCAACACCCTGCCTCGAAGTCCTTGTGCTGTACTTCGATCGGTCAGCGGTCGGGCATACCTCCGCCCGTGACTGCATCGGCTTAGCCATTGCAAGTCCTTGGGTTAAACACTCCGTGCAACCCACCTTTTGACCGTCCCCCAATTAAGGAGGTGTGTCAGACCGTCCTTGTCCTGACTCGTACAGTAACAAGTACTTCGTCCTAGTGAAACATTCCACACAAACTTCCTGCGTTAGCGCTCATCCTTCTTTTGCGCTTTCGCTGCTGTGTTCCGAGGTGAAACTTTTTCAGTCTTGCCTACACTCACTTCTCTGCCTCATACTCGTACACGATGTAGGACTTACTGACTCCCAAACAACGTTCTCTGTTCCGTGCTGTCCGGTGTACCGGGTTCCACTTCCGGCTTCGGACTCCCAAACAGGTCCATCGGGATATCCGATCCTTGTGCGCGTTCTCCTGACGCGTCATACGTCTCATTGCATTGTTCGCAATACTTTTCATACGATTCCTGTGCCTCTGGGGATAGCATCTTGTTCCCCATCTCTTCCACAGTGATCATCTTTCCGCGGTACTCGATCATCTCCGGCTCCTTCTTCTTTTCCGGTTCTTCCTGGGCTTCCGGTGAAACAATTCTTCCCAGGGCTTCCATTCCACGAACGAAGTTTTCATCGCTTATCTCCACATCCTGCTTGTTTCTTCCAGATGTGATTTTTCCACCACGTCGGTAGTCTTCCTCACTTATGATGGGCATACGCACACCATCTGTGTGTACGATTGCTGGTGTTCCCATCGCTGCTCTTCCACGTCTCTTCAAAGATCCTTTTCCATTGCCACTCTTTTGTCCAGCATTCCATGCATGCTTTCCATCATCCGTTACACGGGTCTCTTCCTTTTCCGTGGCATCACAAGATCCTTCTGTCACAGCTCTGTCATAACTTTTCCTCCATTGTTCCATTGCATATGTCTTGATGCATTCCGTGCAAGAACATTTCTGGTGGTTTACCTTCTCCCTTGTACACTTCCGTACTCCGCACCAGTAGCACTTCTTTGTGCATCCGCCAGTTGACTCTACCTCGAAGTCAAGCTCCATTACCTCCCAGTCGCTTTCGTCTGGGGTTGGCGGCTCTGTGCGCTCTCGGCGTCTTCTCGAACTTCCTTCTGGCTTCGTCTCTGGGAAACAAATCCAACATGCCCTAAAGCCATCTTGCTCGGCTTCTTGTACGTCCTTCCAGACCCACCGGCCTGGCTTCTTGTGAGATCCCTGGGCATGTAACAAATACGGTCGCGAACTTTTCACTCAGCAAAACGGCCTTGTAAAGCGGAGTGTCTCAGGTACTGCACATGCGCATTGTTATGCACACTGAAAAGGGGCATGCTAGGTAACAGAAGTATTTAACACGCCCTCTTGGATTCGCACCAACTGTACAGTTTGCGAAGCCACACTGGAAAGTTTGTAAGTTGCGAAACTGCTGCTCTGTCAAAGCTATTCCAAAGGTCTTACATGACAGAGTGCGGGAGAAAAGCTACGTCACTAAAGAACGAAGCTACGCAGTACAGAAAGAAGCTACGCCAGTCTCAGCTCAAGTAGTTGTTAGAGCTACGTGTTGACGCAACTTTCTCAGCGTTGTTTCTTCTTGATGTTGAACATCTTGTCATTTGGATTCTGCTGCTTCAAGCTTTCGTAGATGTCATAGAGGCAACGGTGGCACGGTGCAAGTCCGCGCTCTACTGCTTGTGATAAGCTCATCTCTCGAGTGGCTTTGGCGTCCTTCGTGATGCTACTGCAATCTCTACGATGACATGAGCGCCCATAGTGAGTTGCAATGTGAACCCGCATGTTTCCATCTATACCGTCCATACGGCACCGCGGAGTATGATTTTGAAGTATTGGCAACACCTCCTGTTCCATCCACTCGTGTAGTCTTCGTTGGGTAACACCATCCAAACCAGGATTGTTGTTGTCGTCGCGGCCATAATGTGCATGAGGATCTTGTCCACGAAGAAGTCGTTGATCTTGTACTCCACGTTGTGCGCCGGCGTCTCGATGAGGAAGTCGTTGATCTGGTACTTCACGTTGTGCGCCGGCGTCTCGATGAGGAAGTCGCTGATCTTGTACTTCACGTAGATGTTCAGGTTCTCTTTGATCTCCCGGTAGAAGAGGATTTGCCACTGGACTTTGAGCTCGTTGAGGCCACAAGTCGATGTTGATAACGATAGTCGGCAACCGTCTGCACATACAGGTCGTCAAAAGGAGCACGAAGGAGACGACCAGCAACCATATCCACATCCAAGGCTGATAATCTTCCCATGTGAACCAGGTTTGTGTACTCATCAGCTTGTTGTTGTAGGACTTTGGGATTCTTGGCATAGAAGTCTGTTGACTTGAGCTTCTGGTGTTGTTCATAGAGGAATCGCCGAAGGGTTTTCTTGGCATAAGCTGAATGTCTTGACTTTTGGGAAACTTGTCTGGTTTTCTTCTCCTTGCTACCGCTGGGTTTCCGCTCGTCGTCGGAGTTGAGGTCGAAGCTTGCTGATGCCGATAGAAACCACGGTGTTCCTGGCGCTGCTGTTCCTTGTCCTTGTCCTGAAGCTTTGGGTTCTTTGCCAGGATGAGGAGCATTGGAAGAAGAACCATGAGCATCAGCATTGAGGCCATCGCTACTTTCATCCATGTCCCGTGGGACTCAACTGCTGAAACTGTCACGCCTTCCGCTCGATCGATCAACATAGAGGCTAACATGAGTCTGAATGCTTTCAAGCCTGTGGACCCAAAAATGGTCCTTCTGATGATCTCTTGCGCGTGTTCTTCATCACCCAAGCGAGTCTCACTATCAAAGACATGGAAATGGTAAAGCAGCTGATTCATCTTTGATGCACTGAAAGTCTTTGTCAAAAGGTCTGCAGGGTTCACTCTCCCACTGATCTTGCGAATGCTGAAGCTACCGTCCTTAAGCTTTGACTGAATCCACAATGCACTGGTTGCCAAGTGACGCGTCCGACCACAACCAGCCTTCTTGCAGAAACCAATAGTAGCGCTCGCATCCGTCCGATGCACCAATTCAACCTTCTTGCCAGTGATGAAACTCACCACTTCTTTCAGGAACAATCCTTCAGCTACGGCTGCTAAACAGGCATACAGCTCACTTTCCATAGAACTCAGAGCAATCACATGCTGCCTACGAGATGTCGAGTACACTGGGATGCCGTTCAAGAAAATGCAAAAGCCCGTGGTAGACTTCCGATCATCACCCGAAGCAAAGTCTGCATCCGACACCGTTTCAAGCAAGTTCTCAACCTCAAACGATGAGTGGTCACCGATGCCACTCTGCTCATTCAAGAACGAACGACCTGGACATGTAGCTGGGAATCGAGTCTCATGATCCATAGTGCCTTTGAGGTACCTTGCCACATGCTTAAGGCACCGAAGATCCTGCTTGCAAGGCGCGGTGGCTTTCGAGGAAAGCCTTCTTGATGCGTGCTGCACTTCTGGCCGATCCGGTGAGATGTATAAGATGATCCCGGTACATGATCGAAACAGACTATGTTCATCTGCGGAAAGTGGTTCGTCGTCGTCTGGCTGAGGTGACATACCCGATGGCCAAACCGTTGGTTTTGATGATGCGTTCTGGAGCCCTAAAACTTCAAGAATCTTCAGAACATACTTTGGCTCCTGCTTCACGCTGATGTAGTCACCATGCCCTTCATACGCCCTCTTCAAGAAGCGACAGCTACCGGAATCCAACCTACACGGTCCTTCAACCTTCACCTTCAACTTGTTTAATTCGAGGTGCTCTCGAAGCTTCTCCATCTCGCCCGGTGCAGCAAGAACCTTGCCGTCATCCACATGAGTGTTGATGACCAGTCTCCCCGGGATAGCAAAGATCGCTGGAGCAACTTCACAAACTTTCATGTCATGCTTCTGAAGCACTGCACTGAAGAACTCATACCATCCCTGAGCACCATCCCGTTGACCTGGTAGATTGTACAGGATTCTGTAGACCCGGCCGTTGGCCCTGACGTATTTGGGTGTGCGCTGTGGGACCATGAGATAAGCGTCTGAAATGTCTAGCGAATACAGCTCTAGCTCAACTGATGTAGCAGCCATTGCCGCAAGGAGTTTTGTGGTACTAGAGATAGAAGCTGGACTATACAAGTCATCAAGCTCTGGGGATAGAGAACGAAACTCTCGACCCACCAGGCGGCTTCTTCTTGTCCACTTATCATCTCTCCACCTCCAATCGCGGACGAACTTTGAGCTCAACTCGGTTGTGTCATCATCCAACTGTTCTTCATCTGCATTCACTAATACACCCATGCCAACAAGCCTATCGAGTTCGAACTGATCACGCTCGGCATCGAGTTGTGCCAAGGCCTCATCGCTCAGCTCTGGTGGACCCGCTTCGTAGTTGTTCAGCATAATCGTGTCCATCTCATCAATTACCTGATTGAACTCACCATCGTCTTGAGGATCCACTACTTGATCATGCTCTTCAGACACTTCCGGGACTTCAATCGGCTCTGACGGGTCATACAAGTCATCTCTAAGTCTGCGCACCATAAATGAAACATGTGCAACACGGCCCTCACCAAGCTTTCTGAACTTCGGACTGCTCTCCAAAGCTGCACTACCTTCCTCCTCTACTCCAACATTCTCTGCCAAGATGTCTCGTGATCCACCAGATGCAGATCCAGTGCCACTGCTCCCACTGCCGCTCTCGCCTGGTAGTGACATGGAGTCGAGCGACACGTCTTTCTTAGAGGTAGAGGAGGATGAGGAAGTTGTTGGGTCTGAACCTGCTTCATCTCCCGGTCCACTTTGCTCTCTCTGATCTCGTTCTTCTTCTGGAGGTGCTTGTTCTGCTTGCTCAACAACTGCTGGGAGACGAATACGACGACCACCACGAGGGACTCGAACACCAACTACACCAAGAGTCAAATTCCACGATACGCCTTTCACTGCATCCAAGAGCATCGGTTCAAACTCGGTAGGGGACCTCCTGATAGTACGAGCAAATTGTATACCTTCAGAGGTGCCGATCACATTGAGCGCGCCACTATGGGATCTGCCTAGGTACACACCCTTGATCCACGTTGCACCCTTGGCCTTGACTTTGGGCAGGCACTGAGCAAACACTGAGCATCCGAAAGGAGCAATTTTCGCGGCAAACGAGTGGCCATGGATCAATTCGTAAGGAGTTTGACCAGACGATAGAACATGATAACGAGAATGAAGCCACCCTGCATGTCGGAATGCCCATGTGAACACCGGGTGAAACGACTTGACCTGGTAGCCACACTTCAACTCAATCGCTCTAAGGAGGCAATTTCCAAGCTGACGTATTGTTTGCACATAGCGCTCTGCAGGCAATCCTTGATGTGTTGACGCATCTGGGGGCACAGGCTCGCGTTCTGTCTTGAATCCAAGCTTCGTGCGAACTTGAGTGATGTGGTCTACAAGCTGGTTCATCGCTGGTTCGGTATCAGCGCGGATGTGTACTTCGCGACACCCTAAGGACGACATCATTCTCACAATCTCCTCAGTGCAACCGCGAACTGAAGCTCCACCTTTGACGTCAATGGGCAAGACCAGGACATACTTTGTCTTCATGTCGACGACCAACAAGTGCTCACACAACGGATCTCTCTCATCTGCTGTGCCCTCGGTCCCAGTGTACATGTAGTCCACTGACACGACTGGTATTGCACGTTCTTCGGGCGAAGTTGCGGTATGATTATCCTCTCTCGAGCGCGCAGCTAGGCATGCTTGGCACCATGGTTGTCGCGGTAAATGTGTTAGAGCATGTAATTCTTGTTCAGCAACCGATGGCAACTTTGCTAGCGGTTCTCCTTCAGCAGGTCTCTCATACTCTTTCAACACTGCGTCGGCAATCTGCGTGACTGCATCTAGCCTAGACTTTGTGACCGATTGTTTGATGCGATTCCATAGCACAGCCTTTGTACCATGATGGGAGATGTCCAAGAACTTGCATGCGGCACGAAGTGTTCCCAATGACGAAGCTTCATCAACATCTATGCCAGCAAGTGAAACTCTCTCTCTTCCATCATCTACCTGAACTTCTGGAGGAGGCACCATAGGAGCCTGTTCCGCATCGCGCGCCGCCAAAGCCTCTTGAGCTTCCGCGCGTTCACTCTCCCTCTTTTCTCTCTCCAACTCTTCTCCGATGCCAGCTGCCGGTACCGAATCACGTACAAGCTTCCCGAAGCGCTGGATTTCAACAGGACGTGTAGACAGCAAAGTGAGAATGGTGTAGTTCGCCCCATCAGGTGAAATCTGTTTCCGTTCATTGCCTTCCCAATACGCTCCCAACTCAAAGACTTCGAAATGGTCTGGTTTCGGACGACCTGGGATGTGAAGAAGCGTAGTTCTATAGGGCCAATGATCACACGGAAACGAAAGACTGGGATCTTCTGTGACCGACGAGTGCTTGCTCACGAATACAGGAGTTTCATCACTCGTTAGCTGCCAACCGTCCGTGCCCCTCACAACTGTCTGCACAAGTTCATCACCGACATGAAGAACTGCACGAACGTCAAGCTCATCTTGATCACAGATCTGTCTGATGTACATGTTCATGGCCAACGAGTTCTTCTGGAAATGCACAGGCACATGTCTCTCACCCTTGGACAACAGCATAGACTCTTCACCCTGAACCAAACTCCAGCCATCTCGAAACAACCGTGCTGAACAGAGCAGCGGTGCTGCGACCTGCGCCAGCACAGCATCATCTTCAAAGACGACCGTGTCGCCTTCCATCGTTTCAACCTCGAATTGGACTCGAGCTCTCAGGCTACCTCCTGGAATGGAGTTGCCCTGCGCATCTCGAAGCTTGTAGGGCTTTCTGTTGTCGGAAGTTCTCACACCTACCTCCGCAAAGCGATCAATTGGAAGGACTGTGACATCCGCACCGCTATCGAAAATCACGCTCTCAAGCTCCACAGTCCCGACAGCACGCACATGATGATGGAGTTGATCGGCAGTGATGTTGGCTTCCCCTACAGCGATATTGTCTATGAAGCTTCCCTCACAATCACAAAGCTCATCTTCATGAAATGGTTCTTCAGCTTCACAATCCGGATCGTCAGAGAGCTCATCTTGCACCGTGAGATCATAAACCAAACAACTCGTACTCACTAGCTCGGACTCTTCGTCTGACACCCCAAGGCGTCGCACCCAATCTCCGTACTCAGGCTCCGTAGGCCAAGATGCCCACTCAGCTTCCGCATAAGCTTCCCAAGAAGCTTGATCATAAGGATCCCACTCGGCTTCAGCTACGTAGGCTTCCCAGGATGCTTCATCTAGATACTGCTCACCGTCAGCTTCGAACTGCATCTGCCACTCAGCGTCATACAAAGCATCACTCCACTGCTGATCATCGCCATGCTCACTCTCAGTGCACTCTCCTAGATCTCCAAGTCCAGCAGCTTGCAACCTCCGAACAAACCCCGCGCTCTGAGCAGGCCTCGCCATCGAAGTCGCCACACCACCAGTAGCAGTTGAAGCCGTCGTACTTGCTGTAGCCGCTGTAGACCCAGGTTTTACCTGGGATGCAGAGTCACTCGGAGCCACACTTGGAGCGTACGTGCCAGCGCCGCTCTCCACTTGACGAACAGTGCCCCAACAGTCTGCAGCCACATGTCCCATGCGACCACACGCGTAGCAAGGGCCAACACCTTTCGAACCTTTACCTTTGGGACCTTTGTTCTGCTTGCCTTTCTGCTGTGACTTTCCTTTTCCACTACCGTAGAAGGGCGACATCATGAGCTTTCCTTTCTTGCCACCGAACTTGCCCTTGCCTTTGAAGCCTTTCTGATGGAAACCTCCAGGGACTCCTTGAAGCCCAAATGGTTTCCCCTTCAAGCCCTTCTGGTAGGGCTTGCCTTTGCCGTACTTTCCACCACCAAACGCTCCCTTGCCTTTGGGCTTACCACCAGACTCAGCATGAAGTCTATCAATCTCCATTGGACTCGGACCGCTCTGATCACTCGTGAAAGGCATGCCGAAAGATGACGTAGTTGATGATGTGAGCTGCAAACCACGCATGACATGTTCTGTAGTCCAACTAGCCGTAGTCTTCTCAAACTGCAAAAGCTTGTCTCTAAGCCCCGTGTATGTTGTGTCACCGGACAAGTTCAACTGAATGTGTCGCTTCACATCACTCGGCAATCCCTTCAGAAGTGTGCTCATCTTCAAGTTGTCAGGATAAAAGGTATGACTGACAGCCTCATATTCGCGGATCAGTCTCTCGTAGACCAACACATATTCAAGGAGGGAGCTTCCAGCCTGAAGTGGCGGAAACGACACCAGCGCTTCCGCAAGCGCCAGCTCACGGCTTCTGGTAGAAGGCTTCAATTCCTGATGTAGTCTCTGCCAAACGAGGAGCCCGTCACGGTTCGTGACAGCCTTCAGGAGCCTAAGGGGCCTACCTTTCAAGTAGGAAGAAAGAATAGAGTAGAGACGATAGGCCCTCTTCCTACCAGCATCCGAGTACTTGTTGATGTCCATGCTTTCAGCTTGTGTTTCGGCATGTCGAAGATCTTCACGATAATCCGGATCATGTACAAGTAGCCAATTGACAAAAAGAAAAGACCACTCCTCGAAACCACTGATTTCTTCTTCAAGGGATTTTGGAGCAAACACATCTGGAGCTTTGACGGCCTTGCCGCCATCCTTGAACGAGTTGCTATTCGACGAAGCCAATGATTGTATAGCCTGAGCTAGCTGCTGTACTACCGAATCTGGAAGTGTTGCAGCTGCTGATTGAGCACTTGCTTGAGCTGGTGCTGTTGGGCTCTGGGGAGAAGGTCCTTCGAAGCCGGGAGGAGGTGCTCCAGCTTCCATTTCACTTATGTCGTCGTCACTCATCCTTCGCAGCCAGACTCAAGGCCGTTCAAGTTTCTGATGTTCCGCAAAACAAGAAGATTTTGAAGAAAATGAAGTACAGGCCACCCTCGAGCGGCTCTTGAAAGAAGATATAGGATTTCAGGCCACCCTCGAGCGGCTCAAAGAGTTGTAGTCTCCCGCAAGAGGCTACTTCGCGAATTGCAGTGGCTCGCCGCCACACTCTTGTACTCAGTGCCCTAGAACTGGCCGCCGCGCAGCCCGATGGCTCACTCAACCGAAAGACACACACTTGGGCACTACTCTACACACCTACACACACACACTGGGGTTTGGTTCCTGACCCCGAGCAATGAGCCCAGACCCAAAGGAATGGACCTCAAAGCTCCGCTACCATAACAAATACGGTCGCGAACTTTTCACTCAGCAAAACGGCCTTGTAAAGCGGAGTGTCTCAGGTACTGCACATGCGCATTGTTATGCACACTGAAAAGGGGCATGCTAGGTAACAGAAGTATTTAACAGCATGCCAGCAAGTAGCACGGTGATATACACGTGCCCGGCTTCCCGTACTGATCTTCACGCGTCCAATACCTCGCAGGTTTTCCAAAACTCTTGCAAGCTTTGTCCATACAGAGATAGCATACGGCACTGCGAGTAAAAATACGCATACCATCATTCCAACTTCAAACTTCGTGAAGTTTCCGTCCATGGCGTTCATACCTTTTTCCAAGGCTCCACTGGTTTCTACTTGGGCGTCAGATACTTCCTCCTTGAGCACTACTGCGGTAATCGGCTTCATCAAATGAAATACCTGTATGGCTCTAATGAGATTCTTGATTTGTCCACTTCCGACATACTCCTTCAGTTTCTTCTCTTGTTCATGCTTTTCATACTCTTTCTCTCCAGTATACTCCAAGTTTCCTTCTTCATCATACTCTACTTGAGACAAGTGATACAGTAGAAATGACCTTCGGGCATATGACAACTTCTTGGTGTTCAGATCCGCTACATTTAGCGCGGTTCGCACTGTACCAAGTTTTACAAGATTGTCTCGCACCCAATCTTGCAGTTGACACAGCCTAACGTCCACATGCTTCAGACGTCCAACTCCTCGTCGTTGACTCCACTGTCGTGCAGATGATGAATCGCACCGTATCTCCACGCGTACAGGCGCATTTACCAGGAACTCAAATAGCCTTCCGACTAGGATTGCTTCTCCACAAGTTCCACTTAGTGCATACAACTCTGCTTCACAGCTTGATGATGATGTGGCCTTCTGAGTCCTAGAAAATGATAACACTTGTACTCCGTTATGTACAATGATTCCTGATGATGTACTCTTCCTTCGGGCTCTATCCGGGGTCTTCAGGCTTGCCCAATCACTGTCCGAATACGCTTCCACAACATGTCCTGCATCCTTGGCAATTTCTTCGTCTTCATGGCCATTCAACTTCGTGATCAACCGGCTTCCGATTTCGGTATACGGTAACAGAGTAGCCCTTGTGGCTGTTCCACTCAGATACAGAATCAAGTGCTTCAGACACTTTAGTGCCTGCACCGTCGGCTTCGACATACTTGATGCCAAACACTTTGAGGCATACTGAATGTCAATTCTGTCCTGTGCAAGGTACAAAATAGATCCGAGTCCAGATCTAAACCGTTTTGTCTCTTCAGCACTCAACTCCTTGGTCCGGTCTTCCTTCACCAGATCCACATGCTCTGGTGTGGCCTTACTCTTCAACTTTCCAAGGTCATACAACTCAATGAGCTTCCGAACATACTTCTCATTCGGTTGGACAACAATTCCTTCTCGGGTGAAGACATACTTCCTTTTGAGATATCGCATCTCTTCTCCACTTCCTACTCCATTCGCTGGGTACGGTCCTTCTTTCTCCACCTTGAATACCTTCTCCAGTTCTTCTACCAACCAAATGGTTTCTTCCTTTTCTCCTGCTAGTAGCTCATCATCTACATGGATAGAGATACACAGCTTCCTTGTGGTGTGTCTAGCTAAGGCATCTCTTGAGCCTCCACACGATTCCTTCTTTCAGGTTCGCGGCTCGCTTCATCCAATCACTAATTGTGATTAGCACCTCTTCTTGCTGCGGGACCTGAAGGTACGCGTCCTTTATATCAAGTACAACTACGACCCAGTTATACACCAGGTGTAACAACAAGACTAGGCGCGACGCGGCGTTGCTTGCCGTTGGGCTGAATGTCTCAGCTGTGCTGCTCGCACCTGCCCTGTACTCTCTGGCCACTATGCGGCACCTCCTTTTCCAACGTCCGTCACGATGCCTCCAGTCGTAGACTTCGCGCAAATCCATACGCTTTTCATCACCTGTTGCATTCGCCTCCATGAATTCCTCGATTACTCCTAGCTTGCTAAGGCGATTCAATTCTTCCACGGCTGCTTCCTGATCCAAGGCATCCAGTTCCTCTGGACTTAATTCGGGTGGTGTTTCTCCTTGGTCATTCTTTGGAACTTCTTCCATCTCTTCTTCCATGAGATCTTCATACTCCACGTCTTCTCCTTCTACTGCCGTGAGATCCTCATGTTCATCCCAATGAAAGGGGTCATCTTCCTGAGATACCCTGCCTGCGAACAAAGGCGGGTAGATTCCTCTTGAAGGCGATGATGGTGCTGATGGCATTTCTCGTGACTTCTTCGGCGATCCTTCGACTTCCTGTCCACCTTCTACAGCTCTCTTCCGGAGGTCTTCTAGCATAGTATCGTCACTGACACGTCCTTCTGGTTCTCCAGGTGGTGCGTCCTGCATTGAACTTGAACTCCGGGAATGAGAACTAGATCCCGTGCTGGTCATGCCTCCATTTGAGGCCCTGCCTCCGCTTGAGGCTCCACTTGTGTCCAACAGATCCAACAGTTCCTCGACCTGTTCCTCTTGGGACTGTCCTCGATCTTCCGCACGAACTACGGGTTCCTGTGCTGTTCCTTCTTCTTCTGCGATACTTGCCAATGCTGGGGCTGGTAACGGCTGTCTGGTATACGTTCCTTTTGGCTTCTTGGGGTTCCATGGAGTTACACTCAGCTTCAGTACTGGTTCCTTTCTCCATCCAGTGGCGATTCGCCTTACAGATCCTGTTGCCAAGATTCCGTCTTCAACTCCTACCAAGTGCATATCCTGAGAGTTCTTACCAAGGTAGATTCCTCCAATCCAATTCGCTGTTCCTTTCTTCTCGGGTTTCTTCAGCGCATACACATACTCTCCGAATGGGGCAATCTTCCCAAGGTAAGGTCTACCAACGACACTTTCGTAAGGGGTTGACCCTATCGCGGCGTGTCTGTGGTACCTGTTCAGCAACCATGACGCATGGCACAATCCCCAGGCCCACACTGCATGGCCTTCGGGAATCTCTATACCAAGCTTTCTTTCGGCTGCTCGTACCAAGCAAACTGTTTGGTTCCTCACCGTCTGGATAAACCTTTCCACTCTTGCCGTTCTTCCTTTCTGATACGGCTTGCTGTTCTGATCGTGTGTTTTGCGGTTCATCTTTCTCCGAGTTTCCACGATTGCAGCTATCAGTGATAACATTGCCTCTTCCGAATCTCCAACAAATCCGACTTCCTCCAAGTGTCCAAGACTGTGTACCCATTTCAACACTTTCTCCACGGTCTTTCTTTCCGTCTGCTTTCCAGATACCGGGATCACAACTGACATCCTTGTCCATGAACAGATTCCAACCAACGCTGGTGTGTCCTTTCCTTGTAGGAACATAAAGTCCAACTGAATTATTGGATAAGGTACTCCCACTGAGTCCTTTCCTGCTTCTGGGTTCTTCTTTTCGTGATCCTGCTTACTCTTGGCTTCTACGCATGACTCACACCAATGAGCAAAAGGTAGGTGTGTTGCTTCGTGAGCAAGTCGCTCTTCTTCCGAGGGTTTGTACGGTTCTGCTTCCACTCGTACTTTCTCCTTCTCTTCGCTCTTTAGCTTCTGTGCAGATTTCTGCATCTCCAACTCTGACAACGGATTTCCGTCTCCATCGTAGGTTGGTCCCAATACTCCTTCGCTCCTTCCAGGGGCGATACTTACCGGTACCACCGGCGTACTCAGCTCTTCTGGAACTCTTCCTTCACCTCTAGCAAAAGGTGTTTCCGGTCCTCTCGAAACCATGATCGCTTCAAAGTCTCGACAGAAAGTGAAAAAGTTTCCACTCACTGCATGTAGGATAACACAGATCCTTTTCGGTCTCCCATGACACTCTGCAATTTCCACATTGTGGCTCCTGATAGAACCATAGTCCGAGTACAACTCGACTAGTGACCATTCACTTCCTCCTTCTGATATCATTGTCGTCCTGTACTTCCATCCTGGAAAAGCATCCTTCGGATCCATATAAGTCGTTCCTTGATACAAAATAAATGGTGTACCGTCTTCCATGATCGTCCAATTACCACTGGGTGTACTGTCCAACAGTTCCCGTAAATAGTTTGGAATACGTACGGTGACGCTCCTCTCCACTGCAGTCCTACTGTCAGTGCTACTTCGCGAGCTTCCATCGCTCCGACTTGTTCCTCCCGTCCAACGGGTGTTACGATCATTTCCGACAACAGACAATCTACCTAACAAACAACAACTGTTCCGTTTGTAAAAGATCCTTGCGTTCGCTCTTCCATCCGGGCTAACCAAAACCATTGA